CGCAATGCTATGAGAAATTCTGACTCAACGCGGATTATTTTTGATGAGTGCCGTTGAAACCCAATTATACAAGTACATTTATAAATAGAAAAATGATTTATTGGAGCATCCAACGGACCTATAGTTCTTACGAGCACTACTCCATGCAATCGTTCTAATCACATGCAATAGTTCTAATCCTTTGGATATCCTTAGCATCGCAACAACTACGTTCCCCAAGCGATTTCTACGCTGTTGTCGTGAGATACTGTGTTTGGTGTGCATCCAGATTTATTTACGGCTCATTTGGGGTACGGTGTACGATTGTTCGCCTACTGAAGTTACCGTACTGTCTTTAGAGCCACTTTCAGCAGTTTACAAGCCTTTACAAAGTTTCCTCTACAAGATTGCCCGCCCAAGCCGAATGGTGCCCCAAAGTCAAAAATCTTACCAGCCATGATTATTGGTTGTTGAGATAGCACAACTTCTGTTATGTGGCTATTTAGGGAAGGATTATATTAAAGGGTTCTGATTTTTTCAGAGTCCAATATTTGAAGGTTCTTTGTCCGGACGTGCAGTCATCTTTGCCCTGTTGTCTTCATTTCTCGTTTTTCTGTTTCTATTCGTGCATCCAAACATCACGTGTTGGTTGGCGCTGTCTCGTACATCAATCGATAACGACTTCGCTTGTGACTGCCTGTCGCTCGCCCCTATTTGTAATCATTTTCTACCGGTTCACTTCCGTCTTTTTCCTATTTGTCATCCTTTCAAAAATCCGCGTGGATGACTTAAATGATTTTCAGATCGGATAATGTTTTCATGGTAGTCCGCTGTCAACCAGACATCATCCAAAGCGTTTTTCTTTGAATGGGAGGCTGGTTCTCATCATTTCTCACTTTGAAGTCATTGCTATACCCACCAAAGCAACTTGCGATCAATTCTATCGGTAATTGTTTTCTTTACGCTTTCATTTTCTAGGAGGAAAATCATTTTTTGGCTCAGTTTGGCGACGGGGTGGGCATTTTGCGCTTTTGCTATTTTATATCGACGTTTCTAGCCATTAAGTGGAAACTTGTGAAAATTTGTGAAGTCGCGAATGATACCAGCCAATGTTTGTAAAGTTACATGTCAGAACCTGTCAGCTCTCGTAAAGTAACGGAGTACCATGGCGGCTAAGCACTTCACAAGAGTTTACAAGTTTCACCAAATGAGACTTGTAAACCAGAATCAGTGAGGCAGGGAGTTACAAAACGTCTCCCCCCATTGCCGAACACCGTCTGTTTTTTTATGTTTAGTAAAAATGAAGATTAAATGTCTGGTTTTGCAACACATGTTCTTGTCGAAAGCTTCAAGCCCTTGTCGAGTTGTCACTCCCCGGAGACTTTGAACTGAACTATGGGTTTTTGAGCGATAAGCGTCTGTTCTCATCATTTTCGTGCTTTACTGGTAATCAATACGCAGTAGTGAAGAAACGCACGTATCAGTCAGAACGACTGATACCGGCGAGCAAATCATTTGTTCGAAGGCGGAAGAGTGGTGTGGGGATGGGGTGCTCGTCCTCTTGGGCTAGTGTAATTATGCTTCCTAATTATCATAGATATTCAATGACCTGTTGAACCACTTCTGTGAAATGTCTTTTAATACCAAGTTTCTTAGCTCTAGTGATGTATGACCGTTCTTGAAATTTCGGCACTGTTCAGTTATTACTACCTCAGCCTTCCGAAATCAGCCCCATTTTTTACCGACTTTTTTTGTATGGAGACGGATTTGTCTGAAAAATTGTTTCCAGGGGTAGTTCGACTTCATAACGCGAATATCCCATCGCTGGCTCGAAAATGAAAAAGAGATTTTCTTGGCGCCGGCGATAACCGACAACACTACGGTAATCTGCGATCTGAAAGGGCCAAACCCGGCCTGAAGGAAATCACTCCTCCAAGGCTCAGCCTTACCAGGGAAGTCCGCCAACTTACCATGGAACTTTGAATGGAGACCTGGGTAGATCGATAGAGTCTATAAGGTTATTTACAAATATAGATAGCAAAACTGCAACCTGCATTTCACAAGCAACTTATGAGCAGGTAAAGTTTGTAATGGTGCAGTAGGGTGGAGGCTTGGTGGTGAGCTGTGAAGCATAAGCGAGGAATCGCATACGTCGAATCGAGTCGTGGTGGTTCAGTGGTAAGGTTCGACGTTTCCTCGCTTATGCTTCACAGCTCACCACCAAGCCTCCACCCTACTGCACCATTACAAACTTTACCTGCTCATAAGTTGCTTGTGAAATGCAGGTTGCAGTTTTGCTATCTATATTTGTAAAAAATAACCCTATCGATCTACCCAGGTCTCCATTCGAAGTTCCATGATAAGCTGGCGGACGTCCCTGGTTAGCAGAGCGCTAAATCGAAAAATGATGGTCATATTTGTGATCAAGGCATCAAATAGTCCATTGTGCAAGCAAGTTTTCATCGATTTCGGTGGAGAAGGGTGTGGTGCAAAATAGCGCCAGTACTGGGAATGAATGTCATGTTCGTGGTTAAGGCACAAATAACCGTATAGACGAAGTTTCGGTAAACTTTTCCTCTAGGGTAAGATAGTAATACTTGAATAGTACCAAAAATTCCTCATCGTTACAACTGGCTTGCCTACTTTCTGGGAACCGTCCGTCGTGCTATATTACTTGTTTTCAACTCCAGAATAAGATGGGCAAGCCCTTCGAAAATACTTTATGCTTTTTTGTCAAGAGCGCACCTTGAGAGCAGTCATAATAAAAGTCACCGTTTGGAAGTCTTTTTCGGCAACACTCTAGCCATAAATTTGAAATATTATTTTTTGTTGACAGTGGAATCATCTTTTTATTATCATTTCTATCGGTATACTTGCTGGGTTTTTTATGACCAGTGTTAAATAGTGAACATTCGCACGTACCATTGATAAAATATTGAGCGAATTTATCAACGCTTACGAAAAACCAGTTGAGAACTCACTTGAATAATATGTGTCAGCTGCTTTCCACTATTGAAGAGAGTGGTTCACTAATCGATTGCTTTCTACATTTTTTTATCGATCCCGAATAGTGAAATGATTTTTGCGCCGATCCGCTGTAGTCATCACAGTGCTTGGAATGTGGTAGGGTACTATTCAACTATTACTTCCACAAATTCATGGATTTTTCCATCGAAATTCTGTCCGTAAGGAGAACTCGATGCCCTGTTCACGAATATCGCATGAGCTTTCAGCGCTAGCGCCATTTAGCGCCAATTTGGCGCCATCACCTTTTTCAGCAAAGTCGGCGTAAACTTGCATACTGGGTCATTCGGTGCTCTGATCACAAATATGATATCGTTTGGCTCAAAATCGCCAACCGCAGTTTTGCTTCGCTGTCACGTTTACCTTCCCCCCCCCCCTTTGTTCCATCCTTACTTCCCTTGGCACTTGTTACCATATTCCTGTTTGGGGGGGGGTCATAGTACCCCAACGGACAAATTTCCAGCGAATTTGGTGATTCCGAGTACTTTGACGCCGGTGTGGTGCGGACGGCAAGCAGTTTCAGGCTAACTGGATGCGGCATTCATGTTTATGGGTTCGAATTACCCCTGGACGCCAACTTTCAGCCAGATTCGATCTCATAGAAAAAAATTCGGTAAAAAAAACTGGCCTGATTTTGGGTGATTGGGGTAGTAATAGTTAAACAGTGCCTAAAATAGAAATTGCCACGAAAATCTCAGTTATATATTGCCAGTTTAATAGTATTGAATATGATCCTTCATAGACCGATTTACTTTTCTGTTTTCAGCTGATCCAAATCCTGACCCATTTGTTTTATTATCGGCAGCCGCTGAGATTGCAGCGCTACATAGAAGAATGGAGGACACGTTAGGCGACTGCGTATGTTGCTTCTCTTTTCTTGAAATGACTGCTTTTTTTTGTAAGTATATAAGACGTTGAGAGAACATTTGCAGCTGCCTTTTTCAAGTGAGCATGTAATAGATAGGTAGTAAATGTTCAATACCATACTTTTACGTTAACACATTCGCCGGGTTAAAATGGATGAAAAATGATGGAAAGGTTGTGCAGAGCTTTCGAAAAGACCGAACAGTTTTCAATTGAGTATAGGAATCTCAATGTATTTCTCGATTACAGCCCTTTGCGAGTAGTCGAGCATTACAAGACCCTGGTCAATCGTCTCCCAATTACGATGATACCGATTTGGTAAGCTTTTTAAGTCTTTCGCTTTTATAAATGATTTTTTGTGTTCGCCATGTATTTGTCTTCGTTCAAAAGACTGACTGCAGGAAGACTCAGTCACGAGCTTGTTGCGCGATGAAAAGGATGAAACGAGCAGTTCGGATAACGATTCGGGCTCGGAAACATCTTGTCCACGGGTGATGGAGCGCCGTCGTCGAGAAATGTTCGAAATGCAACGGAAAATGACTTTCCGTGGTCGCATGTACATCGGTAACCGCGAGGTATGCAGTAGTGAAATCGCTTGTTATCTAGTGAGCTGTAGCCTGTAAAAGTATGGCCATGTTCTTAACACGGGCTGTATCATTTCTAGCCTTGGTTCAGACATTCCGAGAACTGCGTGAGGACATTTTATGCCTTTGTAACGGATTGACTTCGGCATCTACAAGCATCGCTCAAGTGTGTCGTCAGCGTGAAATTTGCCGACCTCTTGGTGGAAACTCGATGACTCCTGGAATGAAGACCAGAATCCTCAATCAGTAAGTGCACCTGAAAGCCTAGTAAGACCTAGCAGTTAATTAGGGGAGGCGGTGTCGCGGCTATGATTTGTTTTCTGTCTTGCTTTGTTTCGCCATATATAGTCACGGAAGAAATCTTGGAACAAGCTTTGAAATCAGATTTTCACCAGTTTTTGATTACTTACTCCCCTCCGAACCGACAATATCAAAAGCAAGTCAAAATTGTAACCTAGTGACATTACTGTTAATATCTTGGTGTAGCGGATGTAGTGTAGTGGTAAATGGCGCCACCTACGACGCGCGTGGTCTGGGGTGAAATCTCAGATCGGTTCCTGCCCAAGTTAACCAAACTTTTTATCCCTTCTAGTGCTAGATAATTGGTACTAGACTCATCAAGAAGGATTAAAACGCTTTTTTTATTGGCCGCCCCCGATTCATTGCTTAGATCAATTCATATTCAGAAGACCCTGCGATCTCTATAAAACTGGAATGCATGCAGCACTGTTAAAATGGTTCGTCGACGGCGGCAGCTTTATTATTCCAGCTTTTTGATTAGCGAAGCTCCACACCGTTCTCTCGATCATGGCGTACGCAACGTCAACGATCATGTATCGTTCCCACTTGGCCCAATGAACGAGGGCCCAGACTTGCCTGGATTCTTACTGTACTATTTCAAAAACGTTCTAAAGTCCTAGGTTCTTTTCCGAGTCTTACAAACTCTGAAAACGAATCCGTTATCAAAGTAGCTGTCGCGTGCCCATCGCAACATTCTTCAAAAATCTGCCGAACGAGTTTAATCAATCAGCGCATGTAATTTGGAATGGCTTTTTGAAGCACACTTTTGAATTGAGCAGACTAAATTTTTATATGCATTTGAAGAAAAAGTCTAACAGAAACCATCGAAAATGACGCAATTTGAGCTTCTTTCGAGCTTTTATTTTGCTGCTGAGTGCTCTAAGCATTAAAGTGGTACATGACCTTGCTCATGACAATTGCTATCTAGTGCCGCAGTTTGCGCTGTAAAAGTTGTAGCGATTGGAATAGGTATAGCTCTCGTTTTCTAGTGAAAGAAAGTGCGCAGACCAGCAGTTTTAAGCTGGCCGCGCGCCACGTAACACGCTCCGGCTCCTTTTGTCCTAGTCTAGTCTTTTTCGTAACACTGACTTCGTTCTAAGAGCGTGTAAGTAAGCTCGTTCTACGGCGTGAGCTGTGCAGCATTGAGCAACTAGGTTCTCAAACTTTTCTAATACTTGGCGATTTGCTCGCTCTGGTTATGTTATGCAGTTCCGCCGTTCACTACAATGAGCGATGGTCTGATCAAACCACTCACGCGACGACAGAGACCAAGTCGCGAAGTATGAGCACACTCTTATGTTAGAGCTTCTAACGGATACTGTCGGTGTAGTACTGAGTGAAGCGCTGATTCCAGTCCTTTTGTGTTCAGGTTCTTGCCGAACTGCAGGAGGATAGTGGACAAATTGAGATCGAAATCGTTCTGTTGTTCGTATATCAAGGGTGGTAGCGAACTGGTTATTTCTAGTCAAGGTGAGCACATAATTGACAACCTGAAATCATAAGTTTTGTTATTCACGAATCGTTTCTTCAGACGAGTTCATTCGGTTTTTTGAAAAACGGGGGTCGAGAGATCGCTATTTGTTGAAGAATGCTATACGTGTAAGTTCTTTACTGTTTTTGAATAGTTGTAGTATTGTAATAACTCACATAATATATTTCGTTTCTCGGTTTACTCCCTTACTGATGAGTACGGAGGGAACACCGTGATCGTCCAATTTCTGTCTAAGGGAATGAAACGGAAACTAGGCTACTTCTTTGTTATTAACGAAAAAGCCAAAGAATCCCAACATACAGAAGCTATCCAGCAGTTGTGTGCATTGGGCAGAACAACTAGAAATTACTCATATTACATCACATCACATTATTTATTATTTACTTTTCTCTACGTTCTGGTGTCGTATACAGATGTGTGAACATCTACCTGCCGGTTATTGAGACAAGTCTAGCACCTTTCCCACAGTACAGTTTGTCACAGCGTATGTGTGCAGAAGAAAGAGAGAACGAGCATTTTTGCATTCTTTTAATATTACGATATTGTGTTGTTATTGTTTGGTATGTAAATATTAATCGTTTAACGACTTTGAATGAAGCACGAACCTAACTGGTAGAATGAGATTATGAGTTGGAGAAGCAGCAATTTTATCAAGCATGAGGACAACGCACCTGATGCGGATAAGGGCTGCGTTTTTATTACTTTGGGCGGGAGCGGTAAGCGTAGCGTAGCGTAGCGCTTCCAGCGTACGCCAGCGGCAGTGCCGAAGAGAGGATGCATATCGATCTAGCTTCACCAGCGTCACCAGCGGCACGCTAGGCGTACGCTAGCGGCACGCTAGACGCTAGCGTACGCCAGCGTTTCTCCAGCGTTTCACCAGCGTTTTGCTAGCGTTTGCAGCGGCAGGGGAGTAGAGACTATGTGGCAGGCAGAGACGCGGAATCGACGTGTATTGTAGAGACTATGGGGCCGTCGAAGACGCAGAAGCGATGTGCATTGTAGAGACTATGGGGCCGCGAAGACGCAGAAGCGATGTGCATTGTAGAGACTAAGGGGCCGTCGAAGACGCAGAAGCGATGTGCATTGTAGAGACTAAGGG